CCTCAAAAATACCTCGATTTCTCCCCTTTCGAGGCCTTGGTTGTCTTCTCCAAGGTGTTCGACCTTGTCAAGGTCTCCACAAGGGGGCGAGGGCATCCGACATTTTGGGGAGGGGGGTGGACGTCCACCTGTGTACAAAGCGGGCTGCATGGTACACATCGTGTCTTTCTCACAACGTGGCCCGTGGGTCCAGTGGACAAGCGTCTATCAAACTCGAGGCAGTAGAATGAGAACTCCGTAAGACCTTTCTCTTTTTGGGACCCCAGAAAACCGAACCAAGACATCCGAACCAACGCGCCTCCAGGGCGGCACAACGAGAACCCAAATACACACGTAGATCAGGGAGATGTTCCGAATTCTTCCGTGCACAATAAACTACAGTTTGTTCGGTCTTCGACAACAAACTTTCACTTTATTGTTTTTCTTTCGAATTGCCTTGATTAATATTTTCTGTGGCCTACGGAGGGAGGCTTCCCCCGTACCACACGTCCTGCACGGCACAAAGCCTCCGCGGTATCCTAACGTGTCTCTGCTACTAAACACAAAGCTCCCTCCGAATACCACCAGACGGGACGAAACTGTTGTACTGTAGCAGTCTCGGACGATTGAGCCTCCCAATGGTACGCTACCATTCAGAAAACACCCAATTCGAAGTCGTGCGATAACTGCTTCGGGAGACAACAGTATAACCCGTCGGGTGGTCCGATGTGGCACAATACGCTTATATTATCAGTACAGAACTGGTACGATACACACCCTGTGTGAAATTTGACCGCGAAACGGAATGGCACAGCTCAGCCGTTGGGCTTCGTGCCGCCCCGCCCGCCTAAATGACCCCAAACCGGAGGACTCAGAGAGGTCCTCCACTAAGAAGCACACCGGCGAGCGCTACCTCGGAGAGACCCCAGTCTGTCTCTCGGTGGTGGCGTGCAGTACCGATTGGCGATGAACAACTGTGGGGCACTTACTGTAGGAAGCGCTGAGTGTCGCTTGTCTTGCCCTTCTTGATCGCCATAGGCCCGCGCAGTTTGTTGGTTTTCATGGACTTGCTTGATTCCCTCTTGTATCTTTGAGGTCTTCGGGCGTTCTATCACATTTAGTGTGTTCGGTTGAGGGTAGATTACGCATAGCCGCGGGCGACTGCAGTACACGCACTCCCGTACAAAGGGGCCTCTCGATGAGTGTACAATACATATGTGCAACATAGATAGAGTTGCTGCTTGTCCTGTGGTACGATTGCAGAAACCGCGCGTTGGCGAGGCAGACGAGAAGTACCTCCCGCACAATCCTCGTACAAATAGCACCACGCACGGCAGCTGGTTGAGTAGACTACGGGCAAAGGCGCTTGTTGTGTGATCTCATGTGGCGGCGTCGTATGGATACATCCGAAATTGCATATACGGTAGGTCGGAGTTGCACCGCTCACACGGTGGCAGTACTGCTGTCATGAGATGAGTGATTCTACCAACCCATGATGGGGTTTGATACGAAAGCGAATACCACACGGGGTGTTGGGTTCCAGAGTAGTAGCAGTCCCCTACGCGGCAGTGCGCTCCGGCCAAGCATGCTTCATCACCATCCCGCCCTCGTCCCTCAGCCCAGTGAGAGAAAAGCCACGACATGATTGCTAGCTATCGTCCAGATTTCGATGTAGCTAGCTGCTGCCCTTCTCTGCCGCATGACCCTACAAAGCGGGCTGCATGGTACACATTGTGTCTTTCTCACAACGTGGCCCCTGGGTCCAGTGGACAAACGTCTATTAAACTCTTGCCGCAGGAGCAGCGAGGCAGCAGAATGAGAACTCCGAAGACCTTTCTCTTTTTGGGACCCCAGAAAACCGAACCAGGACATCCGAACCAACGCGCCTCCAGGGCGGCACAACGAGAACCCAAATACACACGTAGATCAGGGAGATGTTCTGAATTCTTCCGCGCACAATAAACTACAGTTTGTTCGGTCTTCGACAACAAATTTTCATTTGTTCACCGATTTGTATCATTTCCCCTTGGATCGGCGTATAGGTTTCTTCGCAGCATTTTCACATCCGATTCGCCATCAGTGAAAGTGAAGAGGCTTTGGTATCAGATGCATATCGGTTCCCTCGATGAAGAGGAAGCCAAGTCGAACGCTGCAACGAAACAGATTTTTGGTGACGACGCCCGGTCGGTTCATTCACGCAACATCTACGTAGGAGTGAGGACTCGGTTTCATACCGGTACTCCGGACACAGAAAATCCTCCATGAATGAATTTCATGGCTGGTCTGGATGATGGTTGGCACCGAGGCACTTTCGTCAACAATAATAATACCATTTGCCTCTGGGCCTACATTAATATCGGCGACCATGCGTCAGTTTGGGTCAAACGGTGACTTTCGCAACAGCTGGGAGCCGTGGAAACACACCGCATTGAGTTTCGTGCCCATTGGAAATGTTTTTGAAACGTTTCGCATCGTGTCGTAAACATGGCGTATGGCGTACATAGGACACCGCCGACGACGTGGTGCTGGGGTCACGTTCTTGGGGCGAATCTCTATCTTTGGGTTAGGCCAAATGACGATGCGGCAGCTTGGGGCGGTGGGAACACAGCGAAATTGGTTTGGTGTCCATTGGATATATTTTCTATTTAGTGAGAAAATGGGCGACGATGACACCAAATCTGTTTGTAATACGTCAGCATGACACAAGATCCAAAGCTCCTTTTTAGATTGGGTAAAAAGTTCTTCCGCCAGTCCATTCTTTTGACTTAGAACAGGATCACCCAAAATTCAAATCAGAATTTGACAAAGGGAACAACGATATATTCGAATCTCGGACTTGAGTGAACCGGAACCCAATTTTGGCTATTAATGTAAGCTGTTTACTTGCACGCACGGCGTGTGTGCCCATTTACCCCTGCACCCCTACCCACACCATATCGCACACCGCCGAGCAGGCAGAGGGAGAGACAGAGGGAGAGAACACACAAAACCGACCCAAGGGTGACCGCGCAGCATCGTTCTTGGACACACGTGATGATTGGCGCTGAAGAGAACGCGTTAGTCAGGAGGCCTGTGGGACATATTCTCGGGGGCTTAAACGTACTGACTGACGAATTCGTGGCTTTCGGTCGGATGAGGCTCGATTCAGAACATCACATGCACACATCATGAGAGTAAAACACAACGCGCGAATGGTGTGTGCTGCTGAAGAGGGGTAGCTCCCCATTTGATATCGCCACGTCACAACAGCAACCTGTGGCAACCGGCAACCCGGCGGAGCTTTCGGGTTGTTCGCGGTTCGCGGTGAGCTGTAGAGATTCGTTTCCACATTTTGTTTGGCAGATAGATCTGGTGGTTCACTTAATTCATCTATCCACCGAATCGTACACAGCAGTATGGACAGATAGGCCTAGTAGTGATACGTGGTTGATTTTAGAGTGGACCGGCCGAAGAACTTTTCACCCAATCAAAACGAGAGTTTTTTCATCTTGTATTTTTCTTTTACGCGAATCTGGATGTGAAATCGAGATTCAAAAGCAGTTCAGTCATCACCTTCCTACAGCAGTACCCTGATGCTTCTGTGGTTTCCAGAAACAATGCTGACCATGCAAGAATTGGCCTAATCAGCAGTTCGTATATCTGCGACATCACACAACTAAATTGCATCGGCGAAAAGTCCCGTTGGTATCCAATTCCATCCATACACAACATGAACAATATCTCTTACCCTGCAATGAATGGTAGCCGCAGCTAGGAGCAGTCGGAACAGGTGGCACCGCCGCTTCGCCAAGCTATATGAATCCAGCCGAGCATGATGACCAATGTACCTATATACGTGCATGTGCTGAGGTCGGTGGCGTGTAGCTTCAGCTTCCAAGGGTCAGATCAATACATATTTGCATAGAACGAATTACATACAGATGAGTGTCAATCCTTTCCCAGAACCTGAAGAATTTGGCCGCCAGTGTCAACCCGCCAGAAGATATCAGCTTCAATAAATAACGTCAGCGGTGGCAGCTGCTGTCTCTGAAGTTGAACGGCACAGTAGGTCAGCACATGCCGACATCAGGTGATCGGTCATCACGTCGAAACTACTGCTGCAACGTGAACAACACAGTGGACGATTTGTCTTCTCGGGACAGAAAACACGGTCGAAGGAAAGCCGCCGCTGGAATCCAACCAGGTGCAATTCCGGTGACGAGAGTGAAAGTTTTCATTTTAATTTTTTCTGTTCAGTCCCGTCATAAGGCGGTGGAGACGTTGCGGATTGCGCCGTCTCATCTCTCCACGGCTTGGTTGAACACCCGAACGCCTCAGAAAGGTCCCTATTCCCAACGCGTTTCGCGACATCACGATGCTATGGCCAATATAAAACCCTGGTGTTTAATCATGCAGCAGTAGTTAGGGTGGGTGGCGCGTTTGCTTGGAGGGCCGCTATTTTTTCAAGTCGTTCTGCTGGCATGATTTGAACTGCTCTACCAAGTACTTACAGTATTTACATACAGCAGCAAGCAACATGTAGTTTCCAGCAGTCGAGCCATGTCGTGGCGGTGTGTCTGTCGTCAACAGAGGTGCATTATGCGTAGAAATGCACAGCCGTGCAGACCGCCGAGGATGAGTTTGGGACGTTGGCACGCACAGGTCACACAGATCCGCTTGCAGATATGACACTGATACAAGCGACGATATGTAGCGGTACCATGGACGAGTCCTAGACTACGCCCTATAACACGTCGGTCACCGAGAGTATTCTGTATGTGGTATTTTTTCCTAATTTATTAATTAATTAGTTGGTGGGTTTGTAAACGCCGAGTGGAGCATCCGTCTCAAATCGCGGTGATGGATGCTGCCGCCACGATCTTTTCGCGGAGGGCAAAAAACACGAGGTCACCACCAGACCCGCACCCACTTCGGCTTGGGGCAATGTATCTCGCTCTACCGCCTCACCAGTGGACGGTTGTTACTCTCAAGCAGGCAATCTTGCGTTTCTAAACATGCCACAAAGAAAGGCCTGGATTTTTTTTTTCACGGTCACATTTTTTTTTTCCCCCGCCCGCCGCTCAACGAATCTATATGCATATGGTGTCACAAGAATCACAGGCCAGAGAGAGACAACCAGATAGAGAGAGTCCGACTGAGACCGACAAGCAGACACAGACAGACACAGATCGAGAGCGGGAGTAGAAGCAGGGTGCAAAACCAGACCGACTGCGAGGCTGTGCATCAGCCCTGTTGTTGTTGTGTTTGCTGGGGCTGATGTGACCTCTTCGTTTTTGTTTTTCCGTCCGTCTACTTTCTTTAGGTCTTCTTGCCTGCACGTAGGCAAACTTTAGCCCAATTCACGTGTGTGTGATATGCACTCCCATCCATAGTATCAGAAAACCAGAGCCAAATTTAATTCGGCTAATTCGGCTTCACAAAGTGCAAGAGAAATACTAATACTTTTCGGGCAAGTGCACGCAATACACATAGGTTGGTTTGGATATGTGCTTACAGTAGGTTGTTCCTGACGTGGGTAAATGCTGCAATAGGTTGGTGGTACTTGGAGTAGGGCTAGGTCCGCTCTTGGGTGGTAAACGGTGCTCATGCAGGCCTCATGCAGTTGTATGGTGTACTGCTGTAGATACATGGTGTAGTGCGTACCCGGGTGCATGAATCTGTTGTTGGTTTTGTCGTTGCTGTTGTTCTCCAAAGCCTAGAATCCGACATCCATGGTCGGTCATATGATGGTACATGCAGGTAGAAGATGATGTGCGAATCAGACACGCAAGATGCTGACAAGGTGCCGCCTACGTTAGTTCCTCTGGAGATCACACACTGGCGATTCTTTCGCAGGGGAGGAAACCGCAAGCGATCGCCTTCCAGTGTAGCGCAGAGCCAGCCAAAGAAGAACGCATCAGCAAGCGACATGAGCCAAGAAAAAAACAAAAAAAGCGCAGCGTGCTGCAAAAAAAGTTCATGGTACGGAAATGGTTTTTCCTCTGATGCTCTTTGCAAGTTCTTGCATCTCCCCCTGCCTTGGTGCATGCTTTGTTTACTCCACTCCTGAGGGAGTCCTGAGGGAGGCCTCGTATGTGTAGGTGCATACGGATGCATCTACACAACAATGTAGCATTTCATCTTTTTACCCAGGATTGCAGCAATTACTCCTCTCTTGGCGTACCACAGGCCAGCATATATATCGAGGTCCGCCCAGCCGTTACTTGATGTGCCCTGCGCAGGGACAAAACAGTGCGATCTGGATGGAATATTGGACTGTTCGTCACAATTGCTTTCCGATGTGACCGTCGATCCTATTGCGTTCGGCTTTGCGTTCGTTTTTTTTGCGATCGCATACTCTTTGTATCCACGCATTGATCCTACACAGTACAGTGAGTCATCCCCGTATGCAACAAAGCCAGTCATTCGCCGTATGAATATTGCCACTGTAACCGTGTGCTATGCTATACATAGTCATCCACGCGTTTTAGCAAGAAGAGATTCATCACCCCACCCGTTCCGTGTGGTGCACCGCCCCTCTCTGTCTCCCTGTGTGTCTCCCTCTCCCTCTCGCTCTCTCTCCCTCCCCCCTCTCTCTCTCTCTCTCTCTCTTTATCCAAAATGTTCTCTCTCGTTTCTACAGAAGCAGTCAAACAGTCACTTGGTGACAACTGTTCATGTGCCCGCAGTCGTCTGCGCACGCCAGACATGCGTAGGCTGCAGAGCCATGTGCACCATATGTACGCAGACACAGAATGAATTTCATGTGCAATCGACTGCCTGCGGCAACAATTTACCGCATGCTGCCTCCGGTGCTCCCGCTTGGCGCTGCATTCACTGCTTGCTCTCCTTGCACTTCGCACATCACTTCTTCGTTTGCCCGCATCGGCCCAGCCACACCGTCGTCACTATCGCGAGCAAACGAGAGTTTCTCTGAGAAGCCACATTCCTGCGTTCGTCACTCAGATACAGGTCGGTCTCGGTTTCCCTGCGAGTTCGTTGCCCCGTTGTTGTGTTTTCTACGTCTTTGTCACCGAATTTGCTCCAGACACTGTCGCCTCGGATGCACTAGTGAACTAGTGAAATTCGGCGATATATCATAGACCGGTCAAGTCCTACTGCCAACCACGAGCGACGGAAAAGACGCGCGACACAAGTGACATCCTCACCATGCCCACTCAAAAACACGCAGTCAATCATCAGCATTTGCGCGATAACCATGAAATAATTGGAATCGCGTGGCGGCGGAAGCCGGCTAATTCCCCATCTACATGGTATACATCTTGTGCTCCCACTTCTTGTGCCCGCCCATGCCCCGATTGAAACCAAGGATGGCTCTGCCTACCTGTTTTCGTGGGGCGTGGGCACCGTGTATTATAAGGTTCCATGCACGGGTTCGAATCCCAGTGGTCCACTTACAAAAGAATCACCATATTTGTATTATTTACTGATGAGCGTCGGCCCCGGAGATCTATACTCACTCACAAGCCCATGTGTCCCAGGGTGCTAACGAGCTCTGAGCATATCTTTTATTAGATAAAATTAGACCATCTGACCAGTCAATGTTGACTGGTCAGATGGTGTTGACTGGTCAGATGGTCTAATTGTATCTAATACACGGTGCCCACGCCCCACGAAAACAGGTGGGCAACCAAATGGAGTAATTGACAACCCGTTTCCGCGTCCTTCAGGCATTGGACTGAAAAACCGTCGTGGAGTACTTTGCGGCAACTAAGGATGCCATTGACAACCCGCGGGGGTCCTGATGTCCTCTACGTTCGTTCGCGTATGGGTACAGGGAAACGATGAAGTCGTGGTCCGGAACCACATTCGGAGCGAGGCAACGATTCGCGTTCGCCCTCTTCTGCGGCACATCCGTGTTGAGTCTCCAAGCTGTTGCCGCCGCCGATGACTTCGACGGTTCCTCCTACGCCAGGAACGTGTCGCTCGACACCACCGTCGACATCTTCTGGACTATCGATCTCGAGGCCGACACCATTCGTTTGGCCGTCCACGCCAAAGCTGCCACCGGCTGGGCGGGCGTAGGCATCTCTGAGATGGGGGGCATGGAGGGCGCCGACATCGTGTACTACGAAACAGCTGTGAGTACTGGTGTCAGATTGGAATTGTTGGATTTGCTTATTGTGGAGAGACCGCGACATGAAGAACCGGTGTGTGTTTCGACGCCGTGTCCCTCTCTCTAAGCACGGCGGGTTGTCGTCAAATGATTGGTGTGTAAACAATACGAAGTTAGCTGCTGGGCTAGGAACCGTGCTTTCTGTGCAACAAGAAGTAAAACAACGTGCTTGGTAGTCTGATTACGTGGTGGGCTGATCTCCACCCGAAATACGCATTGTCTGTCCAACATCCTCCCTCCGTTCGCCCATTTTCCGCGCATCAAGACGGGGAATGTGACGGACGCTCACTCGCTTGTGGCAGGCACGCCTGTCGTCGACGAATGCACGCAAGACTGGACCTTGCTATCGGCGGACGTCAGCAGCGGGAGCCTTGTGTTCGAGGCGGAGAGAGCTCTGGACACGGGAGACGCGCAAGATCGTGTCTTCGAGGACGACAGCCTTGGCGGTATGGACGAACTTTGTAGTGGAATGTTCTATATATCCGGTACCACCCCGACCCGGGGGCGTTCTTGCTTGGTGTACAGAAAGACGCGTTCTTCTTTAATCAGAAGAGCCTCCTTTTCGGTGTGCCGCAGAAGAACTCATCGTCGGTTAGTAGAACTATTTCTTAGGTGCTTCGGGTGTCCATCCTTGGGAAGGATAAGGGTGAGACCCCTCAACGTCGTGTAATGCCGAGCGTTTAGCTCCCCCTTCTATTGCTTGACCCATATCCACCGATATCCTTACGAAACAACGCACGTAGCCGAGGAACAATCAATTCCTACGAGTGACATAATGTTCGAATTGACTGCTCATGTTACTATGGATTGTACACCGGAACTCTAGCCACGAGACTCCTCGCCGCGTGGGGCGACTCGGAGTTCATGGGATATCACGACGGAAACTTGGCCAAGGGAGAAGTCGTCATGTTCGGCGGATCGGAAAACGCTGATGCCGCCGAACCACTGGTTGTCAACTTCTTCGATGCTACTTCGGTGAGCTGGTGGGGACAAAATCCTGCTCTACCATTGCGTCCATCTACCACTGGTGTGCTTGGTCTACCCGTCCTACTCTATTGACAGCTGATACGCTTGGAAAACGTGCTAGGTGCATGGAACAACGCACCCCAATCGTGTTGTTATGTCGAGTAGTTGTTTGGTGGGCATGACTACTTTTGATTACTCCATGAAGAGGATGAAAGACTCACTTGATGCGTTTCGGAAAGATCTCGACGAGATACTTTGAACGCCGCCATTTTCGGTACCGTCTCAAAGCGTGAAATCGAGCTTTGAAAAGCGGTCAAGGGGGTGTGGTATCTTGTGTCACCTTCGTTATTGTAATGGCTTGTACAGTACTCACACAAAACTCTTCCGTTCCGAGCTCTGTAGTCTATACCAACAACCAAATCCCAGTCGGTACGGTGCTTCGAACGGCCTACATCACGCACACCATTCAAGGAGGAAAGGTGCAGTGAATACCCGGTTCCCATGAAGTCTTACTTGGGCTAACGTCCATGTAACGGCCCTGTCCGCATGATATTTTTTGGGCTCAAATAATCGCAACCAGTCAACGCGAGGCAGCTCTCTAGCTTATCGGCTCCTCTCCCGGGGACTCAACGCATGAAAATATTTGACGTAAGCGGGCGGGTGCTGCTGTGTTCTCGTGAAATGTAACGGGACATCGTATTGTCGACATACAAAGACTTTTTATATTCGCACTGGGTTCATGGGGCCCTTCGCTTTTTATCCGCGTCAACGGTTCGCCTTCGCCCCTGCACACCAATGTTCATTCCTGCCGTCGTGGACGCTTGTCCGCTGCCGTATGTGCTTTGGAAACGTGCAGAAAAACTTTTCCATCCCGACGGTGCGCACCTGGTACGAAAATACTTGCATCCCGGCTTCGGAGCTACCCAAACTCGACGAGGTGATGTTCTCGTGGGAGGGACGTGGATGCACGGTAGACAGGCTGTGAAAATTGGGCCGAACTTAGGAACCACGAGCCGTAGTGGTTGTTCCTATCCTTCGCACTTGCAGCTTTGGATGTTTTCAAACGTGACACCACCATCACAACTGCTTTGGGTAGCTTGTGCTCCGCATACTGCGTGTGGAAGTGATGATGGAGTTGCGACAGCATGCAAAGATGGCGTCCCGCGACGAAACCTCCCAAAGCGTCGGGTTGGAAATGCTGTACTTGTCGTTTCGCCACAGCGCAATGCATTTTCTGAGGCATCGAATGAGGGTGGCTCTTGCTACCTGTCGTTGGCAGAACGGTTACAGTCCGAGGTGATGATGAACGCACTGCAGTAGCTCAGGTCGCGTTGAAATTTGAATCTGCCTCAAGAGTCCCTGTTTCATCGGACGTGCCAGCCTCATGGGTCCGTCTCTCCCCTGTTTCTCCATCTGTCGAGAGTTACAAAGCGCGTCCCTTGTTCCCGATCCTGCTTCTGCGCTCATCCTTGTGTTGCCAACTATTGGTCGGGCGTGTGGGATGTTCGCCTGGCACCCGACTCCCTTTCGTCAGTACCACGCCATCGGTTTCGAAGGCGTCCTCCAGGACGACACCGCCGAGTTCGTACACCACCTCGTTTTAACGGGCTTTTACGGCCCGCCCGATTGCGGAAACGCCTGCTTCGAATGGATGGACGAAATGTTTGGGGACGGCGGCTCTTCCTACTCGTCCTCCGACATGACCAACATTACCCTCCCGTGGTTCTGCAACGACCTCGAAGACGCCGCCGACATCTTCATCTGGGCTCCCGGAATGCAAAGCTTGGATCTGCCTGATGACGTCGGCTTCCTGTTCGGAAACGAGTCGGGGGGGCTCAACTCCTTGAGAGTGCAAGTCCACTACAACAACGCCGACGGGGTTAGCGGCAAGAACGACAGCTCCGGTGTTCGCGTGTACTACACCGAGGAGCTGCGCCCGATGAACATGGGGCTGGTGAAGCTGGGAGATCCGCAAGGCGCGCTACACCCGCAGCCCCTGCCGGACGGCAAGTCCGTTTACTCCTTCGGTTGCCCGGGTACTTGCACCGAGACATACTTCGAGGTAGGCGCAAAGTATGGAATATTCGTTGTACTTTTGGCGTGAGGTGGCTCGCTCTTGCCTACTAGATCAACGGACAGCTCGCTGTACCCCGCAAGCATCTGATGCGCGCATGTTTTTACTTGTGCTAGACAGCACGCCCCCCCTCCCCAACCCCTCCCGCTTTCCCCCTCTGTCCGCGTTCGCAGATCCACTACTGCAGTCTCAATGTGTTGGGGGTAGAAATTACCGACCTTTTCAAAAATTTCTTTCCGTCTCCTTCCGTCGTTCTCTCATGCGTGGTCCTGTCGCAACGAATGCACTTTGCTCAGGAAGAGGAGGTTACAGTCTTCAGCCATTTGTTGCATATGCACGAGAACGGCCAGCGGATTTCGACCCGGCAGTATCGTAACGACGGTGATGGCAACGAGGTGCTGATCCACACGGCTGAGGTCGAGTACTACTCCTTCCTGCAGGCCGGCGTGCACGTGGTTACCGTCAACGACAGCACCACCATCAAAGTGCGTCAGAAGCGTACGCGATGCCTCGAGACACAAGTTGTGCTTAGCACTGCATATGATACATAAAGTCTTCCTCGTCAGCTTGATGAAGTAGTACGTCGTACTATCCCTTGATCCTCGTGTATGCCGAAGCATAGTTTGCCCTATAGTCTAACCCCGGCCACCCGGGGCGTTTGAGGCATAGACGGTCGTCCCACGCGTCAACACGTTGGCCAGGTTCTTGACACCGCTTCCATGTTTCCTTGCGTACCTCCTATCTACGCGCATTCTTTGCCAGAAAGGTGACGTGTTCACAACGGAGTGCTACTACGACACATCGTATTCTTCGGTAGGCTCGCCAAATGTCACCTGGGGCCTGGGATCGGAAAACGAAATGTAAGTCTGGAGTTCTGACGGCGCCATAACCCGCGCCGTTGCTTACAGTATTGCCTGTGCCGTGCTCCGTACACCAATTTTGTCCCGTTTTCATCCCTTTTACCTTCGGTACGACGAATTCGCTCGGTCGATCTACTCTTCATCGTAACCGCTCACTTTCTAACTATTGGAACGGTCCTGAACGGCAGAGGTGCGCAAGATGCTGTTGTCCCCCGAAAACGTCTCTGCCCTTGCATTCCACCAGTTCGACCCGTACATGTATGATGCACAACGCTCTTCGAATATCACCACGTACCGCTCGCAACACAACTCTCCGCCCTTGTACGCTCAAAAACAATGTGCAGGTGCATCGACTTCGTATTCTACTATCCGGACCAGAAACTGCCCGACCGCGGTGCATGCGGGTCTAATTTATGCAATGGCACCTTGTTGGGCTATTCAGAATTGGAAGACGTCTCGGACTTCAACCGTACCTTCGGGGTGGTGGACACTTGCACCTCGAGTGACGGCGTCGAGGTGGGGTAAAAAAACATATGGACTTTTCAGATTCGGCCATCCTTGCATCGCGAACTCTACACAAGACAATATATGCATCGCGAGGATACACGCCACCAACGCGCGAGGGTTTGTACTCGCCTCTGTTTCTGAACAGATGGACCTTATTCAGCAGAGGAATTTGCTGGCGCTTCTGTTGTTCCTACAAACACTGGTCGGCTGTTGTAGGCCCGTCCTTGTGATCCGCCATAGCTTAGTTCCTGGACAAGCTGGCTCCGTCAACTGAACGACCCCCACAGCGTTTCTCGTTTGGTGAAGTCTCTGCTCCTCTGGGCCAGGATAGTTTTCTCTGCCTGTTCCTCCCCGGTTGGCTCCTGAAGCCGACCGGCAACGTCACCCCTCGAACAATCGTGTACTGTTTGTGAAAACGCGCGCACATTGCTTTGGCTTTTGTCCCGCTCTCCCACCCAACACGCCTCCTCGTTGACAGGAGGGGCAAGAACTCACCTCGTCGTCACGTGCCACCCTGCCCATGTTTGGACTGTTTGCGATTTCCACGGCCGCGGCGCTAGTGCTTGAGGCCATTTTGGTGTAGTTGCTTGCAGAGCAACTCGCAAAAGTCCGAGGCATCCGCACTCTCAGCACATGGCGGGTGAAGAGGTTGTGCACGATCCATTCTCGATGTTTTGCCAACGGCGGGCGTTGTCTGGGTATTTCACACGGGTTGACCTGCGACAACGCATGTCTCTATCTTTTCTTTGCCTTCGACTGTACGGGACAGGAGGTTGTTGATAGAGGTCCAAAATGTTTGTTCCGTCGTGCGTTCACCGATAAACAAAGATTGTTGTGGTGGCCTGTGCGCACGTTTTTGTTCACCAGTGGGACTACCAAGTTGCAGTCATTCAGATACTCAGACATTTTTGCCTGTTGTCAAAAGCTGCTGAGGAATTTATTTGTTGACCACGCATGATTTGGTTCTGAAGCTTCTAAGGCCTTAGTCTCTGAAGCGTAAATCCTCAAACCTATATTCGACTTGACCCCACTTTTTGCGACCCCAGGTAGGCCACATTTTCGTTATTCCCTTGGTTATAGAGTTAACGATCTCCGGTTTCTTCTCTAAAAGCAAGTTGATTTTCTTCGTTCGATTTTCTAGAGATTGCATCGACAGATGTCGGGGGAACGCGTAGCACGAGTGCCACCCATCGTGGTAAAGGTCAGAGGCGCTCGACTTCCTTTCTTGTTTCTCACACCAACTCTCTCACACATGTGCAACGCGGTAGGCATCGTCTACGCCAGGCTTCTCGCCTTCGAGGCGGTCGCTCTCATCTCAGCGTTGTTATGAAGAAGAATCACCCTGATTTCCACTCCTTGTGTCTCCGATGAGTACTGCCTGGTCGTGATTGTATCATCCTTTTCCCCTCGTCTTGTAAGGCTTTTCTTCGGCGTTCTGTTTTTCATCTCCTCAGACTTTTTGTGCGGATTTTTGTCGCGTCTCGTCTTCTCGCCCTGTCCACTGTCGCCTGCCTTGCGTTGTGTAGTGGTGTACGTCATTGTCGTTTAATCGTCGTCGTGTCATTCAAGGTTTATATGCGAACCTATCCACACCGGATATCGGTAGTTCTTTTCTTTCTTCCGGTTTGTTCGCCTCGTCCTAGCCCTCGAGCTTAAGGTCCTTACTTTCGTATTGCCCTAGTCCGGGAAAGTTTCTGGCCTCGTCGTGTATTGGGCCTTTATTTCGGTGTCCTATTTTTCCCTGTCTTGTCGAGCTGCATGCATGTTTCCTTTTTTTTCTACTGTACGAACATCAGCGGTGTTTCTTCTTTCTTGTTGAAGTGCCGTTTGTTAGTAGAAATCGACATTCTCTAGACGTGTGCTTGGAACGTTACAATGAAGGAATTCCATCAACCATCTTGCCTTTAACACCGCGGGCTATCGTATGTATCGGGTCTGCCTGCCGTCGGTCATTTTTATGCCGCCATTTTACAAAATGTGCCACCACAAAAGAACCGCTTATTTAGCTTGAGGCTCGACGCTTATTGTTCGCCTCCAACCGAGCACACGTTCTCATTATCCAAGTTCTTATTTGGAGCAGGCATCCACCTGTGATAATCGGGGTTCTTGTTCTTATTTCTAAACCGATTGCCCTATATGCAGAGGACACAGGTCTTTCCGTGGGTGGATTTCATCACGAGACACTACTGCTGTAAGAGTAAAGTAGTAGCCGTCAATTCGCCCCCTAGATGGCAGTACCTCATGTACGGTATGGGAGAGGAGAGGTTGCCGACAATAGCTTGGGAGGCGAAGGGGGAAAACGGAAATAATTGGTGTACCAACCTACAGAGTGGATTAATGTTGTACACGACGCATGGAAGGTGTTCAATATTGACGAAGGTGATATGCTGGAATCGGAAGGTCTCGAGGGGTTCAAGGAGAAGATATCTTGCTTTTGTGGAGAGAGAAGGACAGAATCTAAACATATAAACCAAGGAGAAGGAGGGTCTGGATGTGTACGGAATGCTGAAAGAAGGAATAGAATTGAAGGAGTACCTACCTGTACTGGCCCAATGGATGCAGGGACAAAGCTGAAGGTCAAATTTAGGACTGGGGACATTGGCCTTCGGGAACGTAGACGAAGGCTTAGGAAGGTAGATGATGAAGACGACATAGAAATCCAGATGTAAATCAAAACGGTTCCGAGTGCGAAGACCATGTCGATGTACTTGCGGAATGTCCGTTGTACAAGAAGGCGAGGGGAATGCACACGACTGAGCTGGGAAAAAGTAGAAGGATTAGGTACAGAGAGATATTTGAGGCATGGAATAGCTGGGAGAAGACGGTAGCCGTACTGGGGCATTGGAAGTGGGCGAAAAAGGCGTGTGATATTGAAAGGACAGACAAGCTAGGGAAAACATTTTTGAGCCACCTTTTTGGCAAAGTAGGAATTAACGATTGAACTTCGGTGATCGGTCCTGTGAAAAACAATGCTCCGTCCTGCCGAGGAAGTGTGGTCAATGGCCGAACGGCTAAGACATGGGAAAAGAGCGAGTACCCCCCCCGTTTGGATCCAACTCCTACGATCGGGAAGAGGCGTACGGAAGCTCAAATGGCAAGTCTGCTGTATGTAATGTACGATATGGAGGAGAGGTTGCGGAGAGAAGCTTGGGAGGCGAAGTGGACAAACAAGAATAACAGGGGTAGCAACCCAGGGAATGGATTAAGGCTATAGATGACGTACGGAAGAGTTCGAAATCGATGCGGTTGACAAATTGGGAACGAAAGGTAGGTCTTGAGGGGTTCGAGAACAAGAATTCTGCAGCTTTTGCCGAGAGGGAACAAAACCTAACGAAAGGATCCAAGGATAAGCAGGGTCTGAATGTATTCGGAATGTTGAAAGAGGTAATAGGTACCTACAGGATGTGGATGTCGGGACAAAGCAGAAGGTCAAATTTAGCACTGGGCACAACGGCCTTTGCGAACGTTGACGAAGATTCAGGAAGGAAAACGATGAAAATGACAAGATCAAATGTGAACGCGGCTCCGAGTGTGAAGACCGGGTTCATGTCGTTACGAAACGTCCGTGTTTGGCGATAAGGAGAAAAGTAATGTACATGACTGAGTTGGACAAGCAGTAGGAAAGGTACAGGGAGATGTTTGAGGCATGGAATAGCCAGGAGAAGACGGTAGCTGTACTAGTGTTAGGAAACTTGTTGAAAAGGCGGGGAAGTGATATCGATGGGACAGGTAGGCTAGGAAAAACATTATTGAGCCACCTTTGGCAAAGTACATCGAAGTAGGAACGATTGGGCATCAGGGATCGGTCCTGTTGAGACAATGATGCTTCCTCTCGAGGAAGTGTGGTCAATGGTCGAACCGCAAAGGCATGGGAGACATCAGAGAGAGTACGCCCTCAGCCTCCGCGTTTCCAGTTTTTTTTCACGAGGTCCTCTCCCTCCCCCCGCCTCGAATCGGAAACTAAATGCTGTTTAGGTCACCCCCACCTTCCTGAGTGCTTGTCTTGCAGCCGCCCCGTTTTGGGGCTCCGTTCTTACCTCTATTCGTCTTGGTACACCATGAGGGCGGGTTCTTGTTCTTAACGTCACGCTGGAACTGAGCACCTGTTCTATTGGCAAAGTTCTTTGATTTTGGATTTTTCTAGGCTCAAGTTCTTACACAGCAAATTTTGTAGTGGTGGCGCGTTCTGTAAGCCCCGAGCATCGCGTTAGTTACCGTTTCGGTCTTTCCGGTCATATCAGTTTCCTGCAGTCAATCGGAATTTCAAGCGCTCCCACCGGAGTCGTTTCGGGTTTTGCGTGCGAACGGTCGGATGGGTAACGTCGTCACGGGTTAGAACCCCGATTTGAACTGTCTTTCCCATTTCTTCTATCCTACCTCAAATATGTGCATCTTCGTCACGTCCACTAACTCGCATCATACAATGACAGATAGACGTCCTCCCTGCCCAAAAGGGAAAATACTTCAGTTGAGGTCGGGGGCTACCCCCGGCTTACGGTTCGATATTGAGCTCTTTCCGAACGCCGGGGTCGATACTCGCTCGGGGAGTTCCAGCCTGCGCCATACAGAGGCATTCGTCCCGCGGTTTTAGCTTGCAACAAGTACAGATAGGGAGGAGATAGCCCAGAAAAAGTTTCCTCTTCGATATTTTTAAAGAGCCGCGGAGCGTCAAGCGCGACCGTTCTTTTCCCTCCCCCCGAGGAGGGAAAAAACAGGCTCTATCTACCGAGGGGCCCAAGCTTCAATAAACGACCGGCTGAATTTTCCGTCCTTTTCGACCAGCACGAGGTCAATAGAGCACTGATTGGCGATCTGCTGGCTTGTAAGGAACAAGAAAAATAGGGCGCTCTTCACCGCACCGGTGTGGTCGTGCTCCGACAGCAGATGACATTGCTTCACCAGCATGTGTACCCAATAACCATACTTATGGGAGGTTCTTACCCCGATTCCCGCGGAGTGTAGAGGAAATGCAAGCCAAGGCATCGTAGATCTCCCACCCAGTCACACGCAGCTGCTTGGTCACCAGGAGAAACCGAAGAAGCACTCAGCGAACCGCGCAACACGGCCAGGATTGCCAAGACAGCACTGGCTGGAGAAGGGAGCCATACACAGAGCTAGGGGCGTATGCCATTGTCATTGCTGTTGCTTAGGTGTGTAGAGAGGGATCATCAATAAAACCCAACCTTGACCAGGGGAAAATATACCAACTGATCCCGGCAAACGTGGTGTTTTTGATTCGGACTCACTCTTAGGCACCCCAATTCTGAATGTCCTAGATCGTCCCGGCCTGTATTCATCACCATATTAGACGGAGAATGGACGCAGCTCGTGGCGGATACATTTATTTTTGGTGTTGCTTCGGTGTGCGGGGAGGGGTCACCTTCAAACACAAAGCTGTGCCATGGGAATAAAATGCTCAAGAAGAAGAGCCTCCTTTTTCGGCGGGATGTTTTTTCTCGCATGCATGCACTGCTGTGCCGACTCTCGCCGCCGCCAATTTCCGTGGGTCCAATGTCCCCGTGGCCTCTATCAGCCACCACACAAGCCGTGGCATAGACACAGGTGGCGGGAATTAGCTTTACAAGTGTTGGTGCGACACTCTGTGCAAAAAAATCAACCGAAATACCATATCGATATGGAACGCATGTATGACACACAGGTCTACCGTCGATGACATAAGATACCATACCCACACCCTGTTCTTAATTAGCGAGTGTTTCACGACGAACAGGATGCGTAAGCCCAGCGAGACGTTGTCGGGAAGCTCTCGACGAGACGGTTCCCACACCTCCCTTTTCGGCACCGCCACTCTTTGCGGTGTGTGGTGTGAAGCAACCGAGCTTTGGAAGTTGGTCCACGGGGTGCTATCTTGTGTCATCTGCGGTATTTATAAATACTGTACAACACACGAATCCCCACAACGCCCGCCCGTTCGTTGCTGTTACATTCATGATTCAGCCATCGGGTGCACTCGCCGTAAAAAGCTTCGCAGATAGACCACTGCAAGGTATTGAGTCGGCTACCCCGCGGCTCATTACCCCGCCCTATCTAGTAGGCAAAATACTTGTGTACGAACAAGCGCTATAAACTCCGGAGTTTATAGCGCTTGTTCGTACACAAGTACCGTGTCACAGCCTGGGTATGTACTCCCCGTCCTTGACCACCCCAACGGTTATTATTACGCACGTGTGAAGACGTTTCTTTGCAACGATTTTAAAGTTCTTTATCTCATTTCAAGAGCGATGTACTTCGAAAAACACTTGCGACTGAAAGTCACGGGACAGACGGACACTTTCTGCGTGACGTTACGTGCTCAGCACCAAAACAAAGCACTACAGGTACCCTGGAGCTTGGACAACGACAAACTTGCACAACAGTCAATCCCACTGTTGTAAACAAACGAAGTAGAGAGAGGATGTGTGGCATATGCCGATTTTGCCCTTGACGGGTCCATGAACAGCGAATAAGACGCTGTTGGCTGCCCGTGGGCAAGAGGCATAGGCCGGCGAATAGCCTAGATCCAACGGGTCAAGTGCACGCGCTTCACTGCTGTATGCGAACAAACACACTTGCGTGTGACTGCGCCAAAGGGTTCGCACTCACGTCCCCCAAGAAAAAAAGGGTGAGAGGTTGGCAATCGCCGAGGGCAACCGCCTCCACGCGAAGTACATGTGTAGAGTGCAGGCCAGAGCAACAGCCGAAAGCTCTCCACTGCTGTGTGGTGCGTGCGGTTCACCGGCGCGGTTTACAGCGAACGACAACAGCTCGAGACCAAGCAGCCAAGCAGCAGACAACACGAAGCGGCGAAATTGGGAGTGGCGGGTTGGTGGTTGGCGGTGCAGGGACAGTCCCGTTCGTTTCTACTGGAACTCTGAAATTACTGCTACGCTTACGTAGGCGCTCAAATAGTTCAACAAATCTCCAGTCGCCGACAGGCGCCAGCCACATTGAACCTTCACTGCAAACTGTCAAGGACGTACATACAATAGTGCTGCTTTGGCGTATCATATGTGTATGCATGGTGCACTCGCGCGTGGTGTGCGTCATCGCATTATCGCGTCATTGTATTCCGAGGCGGGGAATAGTGTGGCCCAGAGCGGCCGTAGAGGCGGAAAAGAAACCCCGCTGCAAAGAAAAAGGAACGTTCTCAAGTTTCCAAACAAAACCCCCTCCCTCCCTTCTCGCATGTGCACCACAGCACCCACCAGACACCAGACTACCCTGCCCGGAACACGTGCGACTGAAACATTCATCGGGGCATAAATCACCTCTACCAGCCTACGAGCCAACAAAGTGAGCGGAAGTCGCACGAATGAATGCGGTTGGGATGTTTTCAGTGCTGACGTGGTTGAACTGCTCTGTTGTGTAGGACGGGATCTTGATTAGCCCACCTCAGGTGCAGCTCTGTGGCAAAAACAGGCGCCCGATGCTACTTGCAGTGGTCTAGTATATTATCGTGGGACTTGTCAATGCCATCAGTGGAGACGATAGCTTACGTGAGCATATTATCGTCGATGCATTCAGCTACATTGATTGCCCGTCTGTGCGCGGCACAGACCTAGGCTGCTACGAACTTGCCCGGATCTATCGTTCGACGTCGCAGAAAGTCTGAAGCCCTAGAGCCCCTACTGCTAGCTTGTATGTACAGTAGATCGAGAGCTGTTGCGAACTGTAGATCGTACATGGTCATTCTGCGGATGGTGCACGGTAGCAGTCTACAAAGTCTATTTAGTCCACTGCTGTACTGCAATCTATGCTATCTTCATACAGGAGCCACCCGATCGAGGTTCCACACAGAGAAGTTAAAACGATCAACGCGCGCCTTCCGTTTCCACCAGACAGAGAAAAATGAATAACTTGCCATCGGCTTTCAACTTCCTGGCCAAGGTACTGCTTGTTCAATCTACCGTCTACAGTACCGTGTTGGTACGACCTGCTGCTGCTGTACAATTACGTACCTCCTCAATACGATACAGCCAGACGAAAACAGAGTGACACGTTTGGGCAGCACCACACCACCATTCATAACAAACTTTGTTGAAGATGCACATATTATGTAGCCTAAGCAGTATATACTTCTGTTGAGAAGCATGATGACCGCTAGACATGTACTCCACTAGTTGGCGCTGACGCGTGATCTTACTGTAGATTACGTAGTCTAGAATATTGGTCATCGCGCAACTCAACAATATTAGTATTGCACGATCCCTGCGCCCGCCCATGACCTGCGTTTTTTTCTAGACTACCGGGTATTTTGCGGTGAAAAAACGTACACCGCTGCCACGTTTGTGTGTCCAGAGGTATCAGGTTGAGAGAGCGCAACCGTCCGCCCGGCCACCACCTGTACAGTCTGTAGGCCCTTCTTGTGGGCAGATGGCCGCCATTAGTCTAGCGTTATAGGTTTAGGTTTCAGTGTAGAGGTATTCTTAACCGTGCTCACAAATGGTGGTCATATGTCCTGTTGTTGTGTTGGGTGTGCGCAAGCTTTTTTTGCGTTTATTTTGGTAAGGTGTACAACATATGTATATGAACGCATATATTTGTGTATGAGGTTGCAAAAAAGTCCCTTATTTGCAGGATAGCCAGATGCGCAATTTGCTCCTACTTCGATATGAATAGTTTCCTATGTATAGGAGTATTATTCCTTGACACAACGTAAAGCTTCGATCACGTACCGGTATCAATGATGCCATGCCGACATGGGCGGTGTTAAATCGCGTACGCCTTTCGTCCTACGGACGAACACTACATGCGTTCACTATATACGAACTCACCCACTATGGGGACCTGCAACGATTTCTCCCTCTGCTGCCCTGCCGATGTGTCCAAACTTGCACAAGGATGTGTGTCCAAACTTGCACAAAGGATGTGTCCAAACAAATAGTCATGTTACGCTTCCTACGTGTTGTTTTGCTCCATCATCAGCCTCCTACAGCCTGCACTCTTTTCACAATATAGGCCAACGTTTGCTGTCATTTCTAACCTAGAACACTATTTGCCATTGGTGAATCTGATTTGAGTGGCCTACACAATATTTACGAGCGCGAGAAGAGATCGACAATAATTTTAGTTCCTGTCGATATCGAGACGAAGACTTATTGAGATCTCGGTGCATGCATTCTAAATGCAGTGCTTCTAGACCCCGCCCTCCCCCGCCTTGGTCAATGGTCAAACCGCTAAGGCACGCGAAAGAGAGTGCCCTCTCCCCCGTCGGGTCGTTGCCGAAACGTTGATGCAGATACATCCTGCCGGTGATACTCGCTCTTTGCCCGTTGTCTACCTTCCGCGCGACGTGTCTCGATTGATGTGGCACTTGCTCAACCTCTCTTGTTGCAGTGCCGCCGTTAAGGGTTGCAGCTTTGGAAAAAGCACGTCGTGTTGGCTCTGGCTTCCCATGTTCGCGGTTCGTGGGCGCCGTGTTTCGCGCGTACGTTGTGAATATCACAAGGTACTTCATCACTGGGCAAGAGATAATGGGGCACCAATGAATTCCATACCTTGTTCGTCAACGCTGTTTCCTGATCTCCTCTCGTTCGTTCGCGTGTCGGCAGAGGAACACAATGAAGTCGACGTCCGGAACCACATTCGGAGCGAGGGAACGACTCGCGTTCGCCCTCTTCTGCGGCACATCCGTGTTTGGTCTCCAGGCTGTTGCCGCGACAGATGACTTCAACGGCTCCTCCTACGCTAGGAACGTGTCGCTTGACACCAACGTCGACATCTTCTGGACTATCGATCTCGAGGCCGAAACAATTCGTGTGGCCGTCCATGCCAAAGCTGCCAGCGGCTGGGCGGGCGTAGGCATCTCTGAGATGGGGGGCATGGAGGGCGCCGACATCGTGTACTACGAGATAGCTGTGAGTGTTGAGGAGGACCCGATTCACAGGGTATCCGTCGATTGACTTTTACCAGAATCGGTACTCCATCGGACATGGCCGGTAGTCTAGGACACTGGTTCAACCTCCTTGTTCCTACTTTTTTCTCTTGGCTTGGACATTTTTACCATGGACACAAATGTGTGTCATTCCTGAGAACATCGATCCTACAAAGAACCTGTGACACTTGCATCGAATTACGTGTCCTGGCTACAAGAGTTTCCCAGTTGAGGGTCAATTCTGTGGGTGGGGAAGGGTTAAGGAAGACGCCGTTCGCAGGGTATCCGTCGTATGACTTTTAGCAGAACCGGTACACCTTCGCAGAGTGCTCACCGTGGCAGATAGGAATGGTTGGGTGATTCGGTGTGAGAGAGCGATATGTAAGAACCGATCGATGTGTTGCCCTACCCGTTTGTATGTGTAGGCACGGAAGATAGTCGCCATGATCATGTCAATATATTGCATCGTTTGGTGCGCACGCTCGAGCTAGTTTACCACCGCGCTTCCTGTGCATCAAGAAACCATTCAAATGCTCGGTAGTTCGACCGCGAGGTGGGCCGATCTCGACCTCAAATACACAATGTTTGCACCACATCCCCCTCTCGCTCGCCCATTTTCCACGCACAAGACGGGGAATGTGACCGACGCTCACTCCCTTGTGGCGGGTGCGCCTGTCGTCGACGAATGCACGCAAGACTGGACCTTGCTATCGGCAGACGCCAGCAGCGGGGGCCTTGTGTTCGAGGCGGAGAGAGCTCTAGACACGGGAGACGCGCAAGATCGGGTCTTCGAGGACGACAGCCTCGACGGTAGGACGAGTTCGCTAGTGCATGTAGCGTTCATGCCATCCAGTACCATCTTTGACAGGGGGCGCGCGCTTGCTCGATATACAGAAAGACGCATATCGCGTCAAGCAGGAGGGCGGCGGCCCCCGCCTGAGCCTCCTTTTCATCGTCCAGCAGAAGAACTCATGGTCGGTCAGTACTGTAGACCTGATTCTTGGAGACTATGGGTGACCATGCCTGCATGGCGAAAGGTACATTGAGTCTTGGCCGCTCCGTGTGGTAGAATGCTTCGAGGGTGCGAAGGAAATCACGTTGAGGGCAAGAAAAAAATTGCCTCCTTTCACATTGAGACTTAACGCGCGCTCGAATCTACGGCAAGTTGAGTCCTGACCGTTCGAGACCTCCCTACCCTTGCCACCAGGGAAATAGCTCAGGGCTCCACTATATACATTTGGGGGTGGAAGAAGAATACGCTAACGATTCGCGCTTCAATCCCCCCCCCCACTTTACTCGACCCGTATCCACCGGGCCATCCTCCCCTGATTGCGCTGCCATGTAGCGAACCGGAACCGCGTATCCGCGTCTGCCGCCCGAAGTTTGCCCCGGATTTTTGGACTCAGCTCCTAGACGGTTTGTGTGGCATACGCACACAATAACGTCAACTTCCCAGTGCGTAAAAAATTACGACACGTAGTCATCGAGGACGCAATGAAACCCTACGGGTACGATCACGCTCTCCTTATCGACTGCCTGTGACGCATTTTTTTATACCCACAGGAGCCCTAGCCACGAGACTCCTCGCCGCGTGGGGCGACTCGGAGTCCCTGGGCTACCACGATGTAAACTTTGCCAAAGGAGAAGTCGTCATGTTCGGCGGATCGGAGAGCGCTGACGCGGCCGAACCGCTGGTCGAGGTCAAGGCTAGTGAGGACTTCAGCTATTTCGATGTTGCGCCGGTGAGTCGTAGGGAACAAAATCCTGCTTTGTCGTTGTGTCCACCTTACTGTCTTTCGCTTAGCCTACCTGCCATGCCCAATCATTGTGATGAATGCAGGTGGGCTTTCACCGCCAGCTTTTGGACGTCGGTAACGGCTTCTATTCACGTGAACAAACATGAAATCTCCCCAGCCATGAAATCTCCACCGAGGGGTGTCCACCGCAGCATTCACTACAAGAGAGGTGTAGGTTTCCCGATTCCTATCATGTCCTACAGTGCTTTGGCTGACGTCCGCATTAGGCCCGGTGCGTATGATAGTCTTCGGTGCAAAGAGCCACAACCTGTAACCTTGAGGCTACTCTCTCACGATTCGGTGGGCTTGAACAAGTGAAAATATTTGACGTGAACGCGTGCGTACTAAGCGCTCGTGAATCACTACAAGCATTTGTACATTACGGTGTTGCAAACACAAAACCTTACCGGATTCATCTCGACCGTCGACATTAGTCCTCAACTTTGTTCCTCGTCCCTGTACACCAATCTTCCCCCCCCCCTCCGCGACGGTGTGTCCGCCGCCGTCTGCGCTTTGGAAACGCGCAGAAAAACTTTACCATCCCGACTGAGCGCACTTGGTACGAAGAGACTTGTATCAAGGCTTCGGAACTACCCAACCTCGACGAGGTAATTTTTTCGGTTGGGAGGATCGTGGATGCACGATAGACAGGTCAAGAAATTGGGCCGAACTTCGGCCCCAAGTCGTCGACGTTGCGCCTACCCTGCACACATGCAACTTTGTACGTGTTCCCAAACGTGACACGGCCAACAACTGCTTTGCGTGGCGTCTACTCCGCATACTGCGTGGAACTGTTAATGATGAGTGACTTGCGACGGTACTCACAGATGAAGTCCCCCGACTAAACCTCTCAAACCTGTGGCCCGTCATGGAAACGCGTCGGGTTTGAAATGTTGTGCGTCGGCCGTCGACTCAACGCCGGTCGTTTCGCGGCAACACGCTGTGTTTTCTGATGCATCGAATAAGGATGGCGCCTGACACACACATGCCGCCTTCAGAAAGGCTGTGCATGAAACACACCCTGCAGTAGCTTAGGCCGTGTTGAAGTTCGGTCTTACCTCAAGTTTACGTATTTCTTTGGACGTGGCAGCCTCTAGAGGGTCGGCCTCCCTCGTGATTTGAAATTTATCTGGCGCATTCGTTGCTCCTCATCCTGCTGTTGCGCTCATCCTCGTGTGTCTCAAATGCTGACCCGCCGTTCGGGACTTTCGCCTTTCACGCGGCTCCTGTCTGTCAGTACCACGCGATCGGTTTCGAAGGCATTCTCCAAGAAGACACCGCCGAGTTCGTGCACCACCTCGTGCTGACCGGGTGGTACGGCCCGCCCGACTGCGGAGACGCCTGCTTCGAATGGCTGGACGAAATCTTTGGGGGCGACGGCTCGGACTCCTACGACTCGGAAGACCTTTCCTCCTCGAACCCCCTGGACCTTTCTGGCACGTCTGGCTCCTCCTCTTCATACTCGTCGTCCTACATCACCACGTACTTCGAAAGAAACAACATCACCCTTCCTTGGTTCTGCTACAACCTCGACGACACCGCCGACATCTTCACCTGGACTCCCGGGCCGCGCAACTTGGAGCTGCCTGATGATGTCGGCTTCCTGTTCGGAAACGAGTCGGGGGGATCAACTCCTTGTCGATAGAAACTCACTACAATAACCCCGACGGGGTCAGCGGCAAGAACGACAGCTCCGGCGTTCGTGTGTACTATACCGAGGAGCTGCGCCCGATAAACATGGGGGTGATTAAGCTGGGAGATCCGTACGTCGCGCTCGAATCTCAGACCCTGCCGGACGGCAAGTCTACTTTCTCCTTCGGTTGCCCGAGTACTTGCACCGAAACACACTTCGAGGTGGGCGAAAAATGCGGGGTTTTGTTTTTATTTTTTGGGTGAGGTGGCGCGATCTCATCTGATACATACACGAACGGTTCAACTGCTGTACTCTGCAAGTCTTTGATGTGCGAATGTTTACGTGTACGGGACTCCCTCCGCCAATCTCTCCCCCTCCGCCCTCCGCCGACGCTCGCAGATCACCTGGTAGATAACACCTATCCTACGCACATTATTCCTATCTCCTACCGTCATTCTCTCGTAAGCTTCATCCCACTGCATCGAATACACTTTGCTCAGGAAGAGGAGGTTACAGTCTTCAGCCACTTGCTACACATGCACGAGAATGGGCAGCGGATGTTGACCCGGCAGTATCGCACCGACAGCGATGGCAACGAGGTGCTGTTACACACGGCCGACGTCGAGTACTACTCCTTCCTGCAGGCCGGCGCGCACGTGGTTTCCGTCAACGACAGCACCACCATCAAAGTGCGTGAGGGACGAACGCGATGTCTCGAGACTTGAGTCGTGGTTCACTTAGGATGTTCCCATCAAGTCTCCCTCGCGGGTTGCTGAAGCCAAACACCGCTGCCATCCCTGGACCCTCGTGTATGCCCAAGCAAGTCTCAGTATCTATTTTTTCCCCTCGTTCTATCCCCGGCCACTCGGGGCTTCTGCTAAATAGATTGTTGTCTAGACGCTTCAACACGTGAGCCGAGTTCTTGTCGCCGCTTCCACGTTTCCTGCGCGCCTCCAATCCACGCGCACTTTGTTCCAGAAAGGTGACGTGTTTACAACGGAGTGCTTTTACGACACGTCGTATTCTTCGGTAGACTCGTCCAACGTCACCTTCGGACTGGGTTCGGAAAACGAAATGTGAGTCTGGAGTTCTGACGGCACCATAACGTACCCCGTCGCTTACGTTTTAGCTTTTGCCATGCTCCATACACCAATGGTTTGTCCAGTTTTCATCCTTTCATCCGCCATCCAACGACGTCGCTCAGTAGCCATAGTCTTCATGTCGTCATGGGCAGGCTTCCGAATGGCAGAGATGGTCAAGATGCTGTTATCCCCCGAAAACTTCTTTGAGCGTGGTGATCGTCAACTGCGACCCTGACAGCATCACGGTCTCCAATAATACAACTCTCGCAACAAACCTTTCCCCATTTGTACGCGCGGAACCACGCGCAGGTGCATCGACTACGTCTTGTACTATCCGGACCAGAGACTGCCCAACGGCGGTGCATGCGGCTTATTAGCATGCGATGGCAGCATATTGAGCTATTCAGAATTGGAAGAGGACTCGGACTTCAACCGTACCTTCGGGGTAGTGGACACTTGTACGTCGAGTGCAAACGGAGAGGTGAGGCACAACAAATGAAAAACTTATTACGACACAAGCATGCATCGAATACCGTGACAGTATACAGCACGAGGTCCCGCACCACCGACGCGTGAGGGTTTCTACCCGTCTCTTCTCGTGAACAGCTGGGCCATCCACAGTAACGTTGCTGGTGGTTCTGTTACTCCTACTGCTTCGCTTTTGTAGGCCCCTCCTTGTCATCCCAGATAGCGTTGTTCCAGGATAATCTGACTCCGTCAACTGGTCGCCCGCCATTGCTGTTGGATTTTCAAACGAATGCATTTCTCATATTATTGTCTAGTCGCTGCTCCTTCCGCGAGGTGGAGTTTTCCCTGCCTCCCTTTCCTTGGCTAGCTCTTGAAATCGGCCGCCAATCTCATCCCTCGCACATAGCGTACTACTATTGGTGAAAACGTCAACATGATTCTTGGTGTTGACGCCCCCCACCCCCCCCACCCAATGCGCCCCCTCGTTGACAGGAAGGGGACGAATCCAGCTCGTCGTCACGTGCCACCCTGCACCTTCTTGGACTGTTTGCAGTTTTCACGACCGCGGCGCTCGTGCTTGAGGCCGTCATCGTGTAGTTGCCTGCAGACCTCGCTTGTGATGTCCGAACCGTCAGTACTCTCAGCACAGTTTGGGTGAAAAGGTTTTTCAGGATCCAATCTCAGCCTTCCGCCTGTGGCTGGCGTTGTCGGGTAGTTCGTACGTGAATTGATTCTTTAACAAGGGTTCACCTGTGGCCCCGGAGGAGGTTTTGGAGCGCACAGAAAAGGAGGTACTGCGATTAGATGCTGTAATCAAGTTTGCACGGTCTCCGAAGGCGCGGACAAACACCGATAGAACATAGGTGTCACAATGTGCCGTGCATACGTTTATGTTCGTGTGTGTGTGCAGACACGATTTAGAGTTGCAGACGGTCAAGTCAATCAGTCAAACTCGTTATTACTGTTGTCAGGCTGCTCATACAGTGTATTCATCGAATCGTGATTGGTTTTGTGTCCAAGTTCTTCCATACACCGGGTCGAGGCGTGTTCCAACCGAGACCACACAGAACCCATCCCCCACGGTGCTTGTGTTGCAATTCTTGCAGTAAGGGAAGCGGCGAATATCTCTCCCTCGTCGGCGTTTGTAGGTAAGAAACTGTACGAACTGCGCTAAATAAATCCGCGTCACGGTTGGGGTCTGGGATCGCTTTCGGACTCCCAATGGGTAAGTACGAGGACGGTTGTACATGGGGTAGGGTGCGACGATAGCAGCACCTTGTCAATACGTTTTTCACAAACGGTCGTCTGGTATATCACAACCGTGCCAAAAAGAATAGGAAATCAGAGCCACAAAGATAGCGACCGAAGTCGTGGTTCGTGTGTAGGCATGTGTGCGTCGATGTACCTTTGCGTGCCATGGCGTGCATGACGTGTAGATGAGCTGATGATCTGTCACCTCAACAAGGAGGGCTGCAGGACTACTCGAAAACGTCAAACGTCAGTTTGTTCCGTCGTACGGACTTAGCTTTTCACCCGCTACCTTGGGGATTCGAGCGGGCGCGAGTAACGTCCACCACGTATGAGCTTTGTGCAAGCAATACCTTTCAAAACATGTTTTATTAGTCTCAATCTTTGAGATCACATTCCCCAGCGGCAAACGAAGAGAAAATACAGAAAAAGGCCCAGTAATCGACGACGAGGTTGATGGCAACACTTGCCGAAAATATGGCAGTGTCTCTTTTCACAGCAATACTTACGACAGCAGCCACAAAATGTTTCTCTGCGAACCTTGCCGCTAGGGCGCAGCGCACTCATCAAGCGATTGCTAAGCTACACACGGCACCGGGCACAAGCCAAACTATGATACTACTACGACGACAACAAACAGATTGTCTCTCTACAGTTCCAGTAGCTCCTTCACGCCGCCACTCCGCCTTCTCGACCCTCTCCTCCTGGTGCATCTACATACCTATAGTTACATATCCAGTCGGCATTGGCCAGTAGCCTCGCGGTGAATTCGGCCCGAAGCTCCTCCGTCATCCGTTCGCATGCTACCACATTGCGTCTTTCGCACTCGGCCCGAAGTGCCGCACCCCTTCTTTCGCTATCGGCCCGAATCGCGGCCACAGCGCGGGCGTGCTCTGTCACCATCCTGTCGATCGCCGCCAGGATTTGATCTGGTTGGCGGCCCTCTGCAATCTCACCTTGTCTCTTGCCTTGCCTCAGACGGCCTATTGCCTTGCCTCGGCCAGCTCTCGCCTCGCGTGGGTAGCAGCGGAAGGCAGATCGTTCACTGAGGCCGATACGTTCTTTATCACAGCCGATAAATGGTTGAACTGAACCCCGCCTCGAGATTCAAAATCGATGCCGTCAGCCATCCCACCGTTCCAACAAGCCGAGTTATCTCGCGCACCTCGCGTCACGTAGCGCCACGGGCGGTGATGGCGTATCTGTGGAGTTCCGCCACCCGACCCAGCCGCAGGTTGATGTTCGACACGGCTCTCCACAGCCTGGGAAGGGCAGACGTGAGCTCTGCCTGGAATCTGGCGAATGGTCTTCGCAGGCTGGAGGCGACGATTGAAGAGACCATTATGTGAAGGTATGCATGCGCCGTGGCTGCCCCGGCGAATGCCATGCGCAGGCTCGCGGCCGTTGCCGGAAAGCCGAAAAGTCCTCCCACGAGAATTAGAGGAAACCTACACCATCGTAGACGAAGATGGGATCAGCGGTCCGTACAAGCAGCACAACATGATTGCGGAGCCTCGGGCGGAGGTTGTGGCCCGTGGTGTTCGCTTTCGGGGTCCTGTATAGGAATAGGACGGGAGGTGGAAGGTAGGGGCGCAAACACGTTGTAGCCATTGCTACATACAGCCAAGAGTGCATCAGGAGTCGCTTTGTGTCTCCAGTGCCAACGGATTACCCTCCTGATTGTGTCCGTATTCGAGGCCTGCATGCAGAAGCAGCAACGACGCACCAACACATGGCGAGAGGCAGCGAACTGGGTATGTATGCGGACATGCATATTGTTGGTGCTGCGAAAGTTCCGACGACGACGACAGAGCTTTCTGCGCGATACCGCACGCGGGTGTTGTAGAGAAAGAACGGCGGTGCTAGTGTAATCTGCCGATGTTGTGTGAATTCCAGAGTCCAAATATCGTAGGGGCGATATCAGAGAGGAAGAGGAGAGTAGGAGAAAGGAGGAGTGCCAGGCCAAAACTATTGCAGTCGAAAGGTACCCCCGCAACTCGCATACCATAGTCTATCCTACAATGGCATGTCCCTCACGGTCTTCCCATCTGCGACATACGAAACCGCCAGTATCGGTACATCCGACCAATGTACCTCTACGCACGAACACTGGATCTTGTTGGCCACTCTCGACGTGACTGGCTGTCGACTGAACACAGTGTAGAGCAGCGCAAGTCCTATTCGTACGACTGAGGTGCATCTACTGTAGAAATTGAGTGAAAATGGAATGTGCGCCAAGCGAACATGGCAGACTCTACAGCAGCCTATGAGAAAAAGAAGATGAGTATACAAGGCATGCTTATCAAACCTTGGCGAGGAAGGTGCTTGCAAGGTTCGCAGTCTGGGCTTGTACGCCGTCGGTAGCTTCCATTCGCAGGTCAGCTCACATCTATTTCCCGTACGCCTATGCCAAAGGGTTACGACTCGTCGACTGAACTTAACGCTTGGGCATAGGCGTCAGGGAAGCAGATGTGGGCCGACCTGCGAATGGAAATTACCGACGGAATGCAAGCCCAGACTCCGAACCTTGCAAGCACCTTCGTCAACAAGGGTTGACAAGATACGACGAGCCCCGTTCATCTCCTCTTTCATTTCGTGTTGACTGTTGTATGTAGACGCTTCCATACTTTGCGCCTCACGCGTACTTCATTTCCACTCAATTCCTACATAGACGAACATCAACCATACGACTAGGACTTGCGCTGATCTACTGTACCTACATTGCGTCCAGTCGATAGCCAGCCACGTTGGGAATGGCCAACTGGGTCTGCGGGCATATACGTACGTAGCTGGTGCTGCTGACGTTCCCACGAAACGCGCACGACAAAGCACGGGGTACTGTAGAAAAAGCCCGTGTGCTACGTACGGTAGGTTGTTGGCCTCGCTCGACGTTGCTGGCTGCGACTGAACACAGTGTAGAGCAGCGCAAGTCCTGTTCGTATGGTCGGTTTTCAGGTAACGAAAAAACACGACATGAACAAGGCACGTGTCTTGTCAAACCTTGGTGACGAAGGTGCTTGCAAGGTTCGGGTTTGGGTTTTACGCCGTCCGTGACATCCATTCGCAGGTCGGCCCACATCTGCTTCCCGGACGCCCATGCCAAAGCGTCCAGACGATGCGACAAGTCCGGAAACGGAGAGCGAGCAGCTAACGAGGCCATCGTCAGAAGAACCATCTCAAGCGAGTATTTTCCCATGAATAATCGCTTGAAGTGGTTGTTGTGGCGATGGTCTCGTTCGCTGCTCGCTCTCCGTTTCCCAACTTGTCGTATCGTCTGGACGCTTTGGAATGGGGGTGCGGGAAGCAGATGTGGGCCGACCTGCAAATGGATGTTCCGGACGGTGTACAAGCCCAGACTCCGAACCTTGCAAGCACCGTCGATAACAAGTGTTGACAAGATACGACGAGCCCCGTTGATCTCCTCTTTCATTTCGTGTCGACTGTTGTATGTAGACGCTTCCATGCTTTGCGCCTGACGCACATTTCATTTCCACTGAATTTCTAGACGAACATCAATCATACGAATTGGACTTGCGCTGATCTACGTACGCTGTGCTAAGTCGACAGCCAGCCACGTCGAGCGTGGCCAACAAGATACACAAAAACAGAGAGCGAAGAGCGAACGAGACCATCGTTACAAGCACCATTTCAAGCGAATATTTCTCCGACTCAAAATACTTTTTGGCAGCGCTACTGCGTTTCAACGCAGCGCTATTTCGCTCCAAATTTCCAAATTTCGAATGAAACAATAGTTTATTGTCGAAGACCGAATAAACTGTAATTTATCGTGCACGGAAGAATTTGGAACATCTCCCAGATCTACGTTTGTATTTGGGTTCTTGTTTTGCCGCCCTGGAGGCGTGTTGGATGGGTTGTCTCGGTTTGGTTTTCTGGGGTCCTACAAAGCGAAAGGTCTCACGGAGTTCTCATTCTGCTGCCTCGCTGCTCCTGCAGCAAGAGTTTGATAGACGCGTTGGACCAAGGGCCACGTGTTGAGGAATGCACAGTGTGTAACACGCAGCCGGCGTCGGAGGGTCACGCGGGAAGGAGGGCAGGGCCTCGCTACATCGAAGTTTGGACCAAGATAGCAGAAATTCGTAGCTTGTCTCCCGCCCATCCACCCCTTTTCTTTCGAAGGAGGGGGATAGGAGATGTTACGAGTGAGGACTCACTTAGGAGAGGTCTCTTAATGTTCCTGTGACTCGGAGTTGGTGCAACCGTTTCCCACGTAGAAGTATGGCGTAGCATTGGGGTGTCTTCTGAATGGTGGTGCGTACCGTTGGGAGGCTCAATCATCCGAGACTGCTGTGCAACAGTTTCGTCACGTCCGGTAGTACTCGGAGGGAGAT